AAGTTCCTTTAGCCTCAGGTCGCATTGCTTGTTATCGAACCGTCTGCTAACAGGATTCATTCCTTATGAAAGACACATGAGATATGAATATATGATAGCTCTCTAAACCATTGTTTGGTAAGATACGTTTTTCTGGATAAAGTACATGTATGTTATTAAGACCTAAGTTTATAATATAAGTCAAATGATATACGCTTGATAGATATAGGCTTTTTCCAGATATTTACCCCTCGAAATTGGTTAAGCCAATAATTTTTGTGCAAATATTTGTACATGGAATCCTTTGTTGACTTAATTCTGGTCATCTTGTCCCATATTTTCATGATAACATATGATAGTAGATCAATGTGAGAATAAAAGATTTTGATATGCTTTTGAATTTAAAGGAGTTGGTTATCGTACTTTAGAATATCAAATTATTTCTTTATATGCTCTTGTAAGACTGGAAAAATGATGCAGTACAATGTTAGGTTGTACATTATTACATTTATTTACGTCTTTTTAAAATCAACCATTAAAATTATTCTTTCCAAAGGGTTTATTTAAGGAAACAATCTCATTGATGGTCCAAAATAATGATGTGCATAATCAGATGTCTACTTAAATACGTAGATCTATTTTCCGTCAATGAGACTATAAGTATGCACTGTGCCCTTTGGCATTTGTTCTCTTTTATAAGGTTGATGTTTGTTTAAAATTTATATTTTTGGAATATATTAAAATGAGCAGTAAAGAATAGACATGTATCATTTTTTTCAATGGACTGGTGTCATTGTTTTCTTACATTCCTTTTTCTAAAGTAACATTCAATAAGTAAATTGACATTATATGTCTGTTGATAAACGATGTAAATATTTAGATGTCAAATGTATTTCTGTGTTTACCTAAAATAATTTGATTAATATTAGATATGAACATCTAAAATTTATTCATATAATGACACAAATGATACGGATTGCAAAGTTGTTTAGATTATTTGTAAAGATTACTTAATCGAATCTCACTATTTGATGTTTTTATCTATTGGTTTGACTGACAATATTGGTTAGCTGAACACTTTATTTCGTAATCTTTGTACTGCAAATGGTCTCAACTTTGCGTATCTTTCTCTTTAATATTTCTGTTTGTTCTCATCAGGTCAGACCGACTTTAATGACATTATATTATTGAAGACTTAAATTGTTATATTTAGATATTGTATCTAATTTCATAGAGTCGTATCCTATGCAAATAGATTAACCACAAACTGTTTATAAATATTTGATCACTGTGTAAGTTATCCAAATAATTTTAAGTGTAAATTGTTCTACTTGACCAATTATGACTATCTGATAACTGAAATTATCTGACCTATCTTCTCTTGTAGAGCTGGAAAATAGCATTATGACCTTAATTGTGCCTGTGTGACTTTAACTTAACAGATAAAAAAACAGACGCAAAAAAAAACAAACAAAAAATAAATAAAAAAAAAAAGTTTTATAAGTTTTATCAAAAGTTTCAACAGTACTTCACTTTACTGAGGCAAATGGTACTCTTCTTGGCCTTATTAATGAACAGTTTCAGATCAGATTTGGATGAAATATGCCTTGGGAAATTGTTAATATTTGTTGGAACTTTTCCCATAACGTAAAACCTTCGAAGAGTATCTGTTTATGGACGAAAATAACTTTTAATTTCCATCTTTGTTATTTTATTCAGTCATGTGATTAATAAAACTTGACATTTCTTTACGTAAAATTTAGGACCGTGCTTAAGAACCGAGATAAGAAGTAAAAGTTCAATGAACTAATGAATTTACGACTTATGTAGTTCGATCAACTCCATTTTATTATCATATGCATGTATAATATTATTGCACATGTATAATTTAATAAATGAATAATTTCGTAAATAATATCCATTTGATTTTACCAGAAACTTTCATTTTACAAAAATTGTGGGGTAGTATTTTTATATTTTAGGCAGATTAATTTTTCATCCGAAACATTTTCAAATATTAAATGTTGGTAAATTACCAATATAACAGTCCATCTTTTAAAATATATAATTTATTCAGCTCAACTTGACAATGAAAACATGTGCATTAAGTTAACTAAATGTTTTTGTTATGTACATAGCCATTGTTGTGAATGAACGTCTTATGACGAAAACGAAAGAGACCAATACCATATTTCAAATATCCGATCGATACCAAAGAATAAGAAATTTATAAAAGTCCAACTAATGAATAAGAATCGTGACAAAGTATACTTATATTTTGTAGAGAAAAATATTTTTTACGAATGTTAAATCAGACAGTGCACTTCATTTTTGGTGAGTGAAAGAAATAATGTCAACCTCAATTTCGAATAATTGTGAAGAAGTGTTTATTAAAATGCTTTCAAGTATGCATTTTGTTCCCACGAATTATTTCTATAAACTGTAGGCATTCATTGTGTCACTATTATGTTTTCAAGCTTCGTTTTATTCATTTTGTTTAAACGATACATCGGAAAAAGGGACTCCGCAGATGGTTTGACGTGTCAGGACTGGAATCATTTTTGTACAATTTAATGCAGGTCTAGACCCAATAACGTATGTGCAAATTTTCAGGTCATTCCCATACCTCGTACTACCATAACAATCGTTTTTATTGTGTAAAATAAAAAGAACTGCAAAAAATCAGGACCTCAGTGGAATTTCGTTAATAAAATAAGTATATGGTCATATTATAACTATTGGTTAGTCAAATTGTGTCTCAATTAAAACCATAATTCTACAATAACAGTAGTTATAGTAATTTGTACCATTTAGTGAGTGCAGTGACATAATGTATTAATCGATACTAATTGTAATTATTTAAGACTTTTCATTTGGAAATCAAGAAAACAGTTTAAATTGGACTTAAATATTTTTGAAAAATGATTTTTAAAAAACAAACAAACATAAAAATATTGCACAAAAGCATGTAAAAAGCATTGAATTAAGGAAGACTTTTTCGGCTTTCCTGCTAGTATATGTTGGTCCTACTTACGCGTATTAAGTGACTCTTCACTTACAATTTGAAGCAATAATCAAAATTGTTTTTCTTTAAACTTAAGTTATGAGTATTATACTTGTAAAATTTATATCTAAATAGATGGTAATGAAATGCATGTGATTTCTTAAATAATTAGATTTATGGAATATCTGTTTTTGGATATTGATATTCCTTTCACAGATCTCTTCCAATCATATGTTATATGTACATGATGCACTTTCTCTTTCTTTTTGTTAACTATATCTTCTCTTGGCAAATAGGAGTGCATGAAGTGTTCTATAGATATTTCCATTTAATCAACAACAGTATATGTTTTTAAAATGAATGTCGAGTTCAAAAGCATTTTGTAAAATGTCTGAAAATTTCCTTGTTAAGCCCATTTGTAATGTTGAGTAATCGACATTAATTGGATAACAGCAGGTGATTTATAAAACTTGCTTTAATCACTGTTTACTCTTATGTTTTATGTAAAAACTTTCCTGAACTAACGCAGATTTAAAATACATCACACAAACAATGCATGAACACTCGACTACTTTCTATTGGAAACAAACTTTTTTTTTCTAAGATTTTCTGACATGTCACTATGCCTAACACATGCTTGTTATCATCATCTGTTATTTTAGCGAGATCAAAATGTGAATGTTTTTCTGATATGAGTTTATTGCGCTACATACGGTTGTTGTTATACAGAAATGTCACTCCGTTTTCTTTTTGTTTTTATTGATCATATATCAATTTCCTTTGGCTTAAATATGATATGTGAGAATGTATTTGATATATTACAATGCAAATTTCGACTGCATTGAATTCTCGACATCAAAAGAAACTGACTAAAAGAATTGTTATTAATGTTTAGATATCTAATGTTTCGGGGTCGTCATTTTGGTCCTTGGGCGAGATTTTACTCGGTGTTACTTCACCTTAGGTATTGAGTTTTATAGTATTTCTTTCTCTTATCGCTGATTTAGAAATCATATTGGATTGTATTGTGTTACTTTGGAGAGGAATTGGTAATTACTGGTTTAGTATCCAGGATAGCCGCTTAGGTATATCAACCGCCGATAATGGCAAAAATGTGTCTAATATTCGAGACAAATTTTGCTTACAGACTACTGATTTTGTGTTCTTTATATTTCAAATAATTGTAAGAATAATGCAATAAATTTGTATATTATCTTCCTGATTTATATATGATACTATCATTAGATCAGATTGACTTTGTTTGCTTTATGTTGTTGTATCACAGTGTGATATATAAAACCTGTAATGTTCGGTTATTGAGGCTAACACCCTAAAATTTTTCAACTTCAAATTGTTATGTAAATATTTGATGAGTGTGGGTCCAAATTATCCACTTAAATTATAACAGAACACTGTCCCTGCGGTGCTTATAAACACTGAAACAGTCTTATAAAGTTTATATTAAATTAAACGTTGGTCACATTGTAAAAATAAACAAATTTAGGCAACCTTTTAAATGAATATGAAAGGAACTTTACAAAAAAGAGTGAAGAGTCCATGCTTGTTGTATAATTTATTTTCCTTCTTGAAATACAAATTTACATTCACTCTAATCTATGACGGGGTAATGTGTTCTTTTTTGCGATTTTAAATATGATCGTTTGACGTTACACAAAAAGGCAATATATAGAAAAGACAAAGAAAGTTTATCGAGAAATCTGTAATTCTAAAATTTTAAATTTTGCGGGCAACAAAGCAAATGTTACTAGTATAACTATCTATTATTTGTGGATGACTAAAATGCAATACGTTCATGAAAGCAAATGATGTGAAGTGAAAGATCCGTACGTATTTCAATCGCTACTGTAACATAAAGAGATGAAATTATCTTTTGTATCATTGGCTTTATTTTAAACATTTCAAAATAATTTCTGTTTTTATGTAGCAAAAATCATTCATGAGATAATTAAATCGAAAACATGTTGTATTAATTGAAATTTTCCCTCTTCTTTTCCAGATAGTGACAATTTAAACTTGGTGAATGTAGAAGCTGCCCTTGGGTGAAAACATTGTATCGGTACCTTCCTAATTGGTAAATATTGTTATCATATTTAAACATTTTTGCAGATTTAAAAGTCTTATTAATTCTTTAAACAAAACAAAATATTGAAATTATGTTTATATTAGGTCAAGAATCTGTAAAAATATACGTATTTTTAACGTGAGAATTTAGAGAAAACGTTTTTGTTTACTATTTCTTTAGAATTAAAATTGTTTTAGATAAGGGGGGAATTTAGTTTCGTCTTATAGAAAATTACATGTTTTTGTCTGCCGCTAGATAAAGATCTATTCTGCGGAAATTAGCTGTCAGTTTGTGTATAGAACAGAAGAGGTTGCGTTGTCAAATGTTCATTATTAGTTACATTAGAAAATCTAATCACGTTAGTTATTCACAGAAGTAATAATATCAGAGTGTCAAATGGTACATTTGTAGACACAGAAATGTCTCAAATTATTGTAAACAATTAAAGATGCACGCCTCCAGATGAGCCAAAATATTTCAAGGAAATCAATATATAGTAATACATTTTAATGAAATGTAAAAACTATCCAAGATCCGGGTTATATTTTACATGTTATGTGCAGTTTAAGACTGGTTTTGCAATATTGTATTACCGTATTTCCACTGCGTTGCTAACGCGGTAATGGCTGTTATTCATATGTTGACGATTTTTTGGTAATTTTCTTTGATTGTAAGTGCTGATTGTAATATGTTAATTACTTTATTTGTTCACTGCGCACCATATTTTACAATTCAATACATTTCTAAATTTTTCATGAAAATTAACATGAATCTGGAGGCATGCTGCTTTAAATGCTGCATTCCATTTAAGACATTTAACCACTTCGGTCATTTGCTCTGAAATTAAATTCTTGGAATGTCAAAAGGCAAATTACACAAATTGTCTTATTTTGCTAAGAATTGCATTACATTTAAGATATCATAAAATTCATAGAATAAGTTACATGGGAAATGTTCAGTCTAGACCCGTTGTCTGCGTAAGATTTTCTTTCTTTGAAATAAAATAATACCACTTACTCTACTACTTGTAGTAGTCTATCTTACAGTCCATCTAGAATCGCTTGTTTTGGTTTTCAAAAAGCATTTTGATAATAATGTAATCGTTGTAAAATGCATTGATAAATGTGTGTTTAAACTTATTGAGACATATCGATTAAAGGGTTGTTTTCCAAATTTAATGTTAACAAAGTAAGTACCAAATATTATTTTTTCAATTAATTTATGACACTAAAACCAGCAGGATTTTCTTCCAATACTCAAACTAATAGAAATATATGCTTAAAATGCCTGGTATCTTTAGCTTTTGTTTCTATATTTGAATTCCCGACTGTACGCAGATTTTAACATAAATGTGATAATATTATAATTATTGCAATTAATTAATGACAGTGAAGCCCGCAGTTTTTTACCAACTGACAAATATGCTTAAATATGCCAGATATCTTTAGGTTTTGTTTGTTTTTTTGTTTTCATGATTTTACTCCGATTTTATCACATGTTCTTTTTGTTTATCATCCATCTAACCGCGTTGCCAAATAACTAACCAGTACTGACCAACTTCTCTGCAAATGACCGGATACCAAATTTGCGTGATATATGAATCATATTTATCAGTGGTTAAGGACAAATGACCATTAAACTCAAAGTCATATACAACTGCCAATCGTCAGAGAATCAAAACAGCTGTTCCTGGATTATTTTCCCGATGCGCTGCTTATTCAGCAAAGGGGGTGGGGAAGTTATTTATAATTTTTCGCCTTTTGTCGCATTTATGAAATTGCAAATTATTTGTTTAAACTTCTGTCATTAACTCTATTGGGTTAATAATGTTTTTGAGTATTATGCCTAATGCACTAGTAAGATTAAGTTAGTACTTAAACGAAGCTGTAAGGCATCCTGCCATTTATTTTTGTATTTGATATAGTTGAGAAAGATGATGTTTTACTTACAGTTGAATAATAGAATCTGATGGTTAACTTATAATCTACTTTTAAATTGCTTCCAAAGAGAACTATTAATCACAAATGCAATAAATGCTAAGATAGATCGGTCAATGTGAATTTGAATTTTAAATTTATCAAAATAATTTAAAAAAATTCAAAAGATTAGCT